TGTTAAACAGAGGTATGGGAAAGGCAAAACTTGTGCATGGTACCAAATGTCCTGTGGCAAGGCCTGTTTCATGCATGCTAAGAAAATGCATCTGTAATGCAGGGATGGTACAAATTGTGCCTTGCAGCACGGTGAATGCAGTCTAGCTGCTTCGTTGCTCCCTCAGCTGGTAGTTATTTCTGTGCTTCCCTCCCAGGTCATACACGACTTCTTGTTCTCCTTGAAAGAGAGCCCTGAAAAGTTCCAGATCGAGGCCAACTTCCCTCGCCGCGTCCTGCCCTGCCTCCCCACAGAGGAGTGGCCCAACCCTCCCACGCTGCAGGAGGCCGGACTCAGCCACACGGAAGTCCTCTTTGTGCAGGACCTTACGGACGATTGACACTTTTCCAGAACACACAAATGGAAAGAGAAATTCATATTATTATTATAATACAATATTTTTTTTAAAAAGACTGCGTACAACCAAGGGATCAGAGACCACGTCGCCTGTGGCAGCCGCGCTGCGGGGGTGCCCTGGCGAGAGGAAGCGTGTGCATGTGCACAGGCTCCCGTGGCCATGCACACAGCCATCCCCTGCACTCGGAGGGCAGGCAGGGAGGGGAGCTGGTGCTGCCCCTCCGCCCTCCCTGGGGAGCAACAGGAATGGCAGCTCTCCGTAAATATTGCTTTTATTGACGATAATAATAAAACTCCGACACCCTGACATCTTGTGAAGATTTGATGCTCTGCTGCTCCTGAGAGCCAGCCAGAAGACTGGGCAGCTGAATGTGCTGGGAGTGGGGCAGGAGGGAGGGCTGGACAGAATGTTTTCAGCTTCTCTCTGTATAAATACCTTTCTTTTAATATTTTTTTTCTTGCTTTGTAATGACCAAAGGAGAATGGGGTTGACGATAGTATTAATTTTTTTTGATAAAGAGCTGGTTCAATTCTTACCCGTGTGGGACCTTGCCCAGGGTTCTTAGCCTGCGTAGTGTAATAAACTCTGCCTCTAGCATGTCTGGACAAATGCTTTTTGGCTGTGCCACGTGCCGTGGTGCTGCCCCACTGACACCGCGCGTGGCTTTCAGCTGCTCGGGCTCTACAGCCAGTCCTTGTTCCAGTAGGGTGCTAAAATGTTTAACCTGGGGCCTGCATTGGGGCTGACACCTTGAGTTGGTTAGTGGGGGCCAGCGGAGAGCTCTGGGAGCAAGAGAAACATGAAGCGTTTCTCCAGAGGGGGAGTGGGGGCTGCTTCTGTGCCCGGGATAGGAATTCCAGGGCGTTGGGAAAGAAGTGAGGTGCCCTTTCTTTGCTGTGTGCAACTGTGGCTGAGCTAACCCTTATATTTTATATGTGGATATGTATAACCCTTAGTTATATATAACAAGTTATAGTTTTATAAATTTTGTAGTTTAAAACTATAGCTGGGAAAAAAAAAAAGCAGGGAGAGGAGTGCTCATCCCATGAGCTGCTTAAGGCAAAGGGGCCTCCTCTGGGACCTGCTCGAGCTGGTTGTCCTGTGCTTGTGGAGCCCCTGGCCAAAGGGAGATTCCCCTGCCTTCCCTCTGCCTCACAGGAAAGGCTCATATCCCTTTTTGGATGGGGAATTAGGGTTGTTTCAGTTAGTGCATTGCACTTGGTTGTGTGAAGCACAAAGAGAAGAAAATCTAGGGGAGGGTGGGGAAAAAAAAAAAAGGAAAAAACACGAGGCTGGGAAAGCTGGAGGAAGCTTCCCTTTCCCGATGCGGGTCTTCCTTTCCCGATGCGGGTCTTCCTTTCCCGATGCGGGTCTTCCTTTCCCGATGCGGGTCTTCCTTTCCCGATGCGGGTCTTCCTTTCCCGATGCGGGTCTTCCTTTCCCGATGCGGGTCTTCCTTTCCCGATGCGGGTCTTCCTTTCCCGATGCGGGTCTTCCTTTCCCGGGGAGCTGCAGGGGCTGGGAAGGGGCCTGGGGCTGCAGGGGCCTGGTCCCTGCTGCAGAGGCCCTGCCTGGTGCTGCTGAGGTGCCTTGTGGACAGGGAGCGCAGGGGCACCGGCCCTGGCCCCGGCTGGCGATGGGTGGGATGGGATGGGCGCTGGAAAAGGATAGGGTGGCAGGGAAGGAGGCGGCCGTGGCGGGGGCGGCTCTGCTGGGCTTGTGCTGCAGGAGGGTGAGCAGAGCAGCTGGTGTCCTTGGGAAGAGCCCCTCGGTGTCCTCCTTCCCAGGGCCGGCCACCCTGACACCCACCTCATGGGCGAGCCCCGGGCACCCCAACGGATGTCCAGAACCGGACACCACCCCAAAGGATGCCCGGAATCGGACACCGTCCCGCGAGCATCCGGCTGCCCCGGCCCCTTCCCGGCCCCGCACACAGAGGCGGCACAGCGCGCTGGTATACATCATACATTTATTAGTGAATATCCCTCTCAAAATCAGCCACGACATTAAAAAAAATAATGATTGCACTACTTGGTCAAGCAGAACTAGCAACTTTCATTTTAAAAAAAGTACAAATCTGTTAAAAATTTCAATCAGTATAATACACATATATATAATACAACATACTAGTTATGTTAAATGCTACAAAACCAATATGATTCCAATGGAATGGAAAAAAAAAACAAACACTTTTAGAGCTTTAAGAACCTTTTTTTTTTTTTTCTATATATTAGCCTTTTTTCAAATACATACATGGGAAAAATGAGGTAACTGTAAAATGTGCAAGTAACAGAGCAAAAAAAATTATATATATATATTTATATATATATATATATATATATAAAAACTTTCTAACACAGAACACACGTCCTAGCACCTTCCGGGGACCCGCGGGGACCGCGGCGTTCCCACCGGAGGGCCCGGGGACTGGTATAATAGAACAGTAAACAGTCCACTATCCCACCACAGGAAATCATTGGTAAACAGTGGTATCTACAGCGCAGTCAGCAATCACAAACACCCTAAATAATTGTTTTTTAGTAATTTTTTTTTTGTATTTTATTTTTAAATGATACTTTTTAGCTGCTCATTGGAATAAATTCTGCAGCACACGAGCTGTGAGCTTTCGAGTCGCCGTCGAAGGACCGTAAGGCTTTCCTGGCTCCCTGGGCACCGCGGGGGCGGGAGGGGAGGAGGGGGCGTCTCCGGGGGCGCGGGGACTCCTTTGGTTCCGTGTCACTGAGCGAGGGCTGGGGAGCGGGCCGAGGTCCGGCCCGAGGGCACCGAGCCCAGCGGTGCCGGCGGCCGCCCGGCGGCGAGGCCGCCCCGCGGCGCTTCACGTGGAGGGCGGCCGCCCGATTGGCTGGGAAACGGAGGCGAGGGGGAGCCACCCAATAAAAAAAAGCGTGGCACGCGCCGTCCCCCGCGCCCCATTGGCTGGGCGGCCGCCGGCGCCAGCCAACGGGCACGCGGGAAGAGGCGCGCCCATTGGCAGACAGGGTGCCGGGCTCCTCCGCCAATCGGCAGCGGACACGCCTTGGCGGCCCCGTGATCGGCACCCCCTGCGGACCAATGCGGGAGGCGGGGGTAATCACCGGCCCGCCCACGCACGTGCAGCGCCTCGCGCCCGGCATGGCGGCCGCCCCCCCCACGCGCCGGCGCCCC